TGTTTAACTCAACCTTTCCAGCTCTGTTCCTTGCTAATATCCATCTCGGCAATACACCAGCTCCTAAGACACAGATTAAAATAACCTTCTGTGATCGTACATTTATCCTTTTCATCAAATGTAAGTAATCAGTAACTACCACTTCACCACAGTAAGTTAACAAAACCTGAATGAAAACAAATTTAGAAACAAGTAAAAGAATACGCATAAAATAACGTGACAGAACAACCTCTGGTTTACCAAACCTTAAAATCCCTTACATAATACTTTTCAAAAGTAATTAATGTTTTCGTTATTGACAACTTTGTCAATAATGAAAGAATAATAAAAGAAACATATTTGGAGAATCCACCTTAGCGCTGTGAGAGTCAAGAAAACTAAGTCATAATAAGATTTGGCCATTTTCCTTCAGAGTTGTATATAAAAACTATACGACAATTAAGCCAAACACTACTACTCAAATGTGTTAAAGGAACCTCTGAAACCAACAATGACTTTTATGTGAACACCACTAAAAGATTTTGAAAGTCAATCTGAATGTTGCAGATGCATTTTTAGTAACAAAACCAACCTGCAGTACTGTATATTCTCATCTCTTCCTCTCACCAATTAAAACATTTAAAGACAGCTCCCTGTTTCATGCAAATAGAAATCTTATTCATTATAAATTAATAACATCCAAAATGTTTAAACAGTGTTATTTTTCCCAAGTAGATTTTCTTTAACAATTAAAGCTGGACAAAGACTGCTCTGTTCAGTATAAGAATTACATGATCTAAAAAATTTCTTTAAAAATTATGCTTCTCAGATTGTTTTGCAAGCCATAACAGTGAAATCTTGAACTTATGTCACAAAATTCATTGTGATATTTCAAATCAAAAGTACAGAGATATGAAAGAAAAACAACCACCGAGCTTTCCATTCATCAATCATAGTTCAAAATTAAGAAGTTCATGTGTGCTTAGAGGAAAAAAGTAAAAAACTTCAAGAAGCTATTCACTTTTTTGTGCAAGACACTATGAAAAATTGCATAGTTTCATATCATGCAGGAAAGCTTTGTGATTGTCTGAAACCTGGTCTGAGTATCAGCTTAAAATATATAAAAAAGATTTACCAAATCTTTTTCATCCTCTCCAGTGCAGAATTTAAATCCAAATGTATGTAAATCCCAATTCATCTTCTCAGGCTATGTGTGGCCTGAGGCAAAAAATTTGCAGACTTATTGTATAATTGGTGTGAAAAACTGGCATCACCTTCTGTTAAAAAAAAACAAAAAGCAAAACAAACAAACAAAAAAAACCACAAAACACCTTAGTGCAAGGTGCGCAAATATCTTATCATTGTCAAATGCAGTTTAAGAAGAGGTAGCCATAAAGGCATGTGACTTACTCAACGTGCCACTGTTATACCATTACAAGAATGGTTCTAGTAAAGGAAGTACTGCGTGTTCTGCCAATGGCTCAAAACAGAAGCTCACAACTTGCTACACACAAGCATGGCACTCTCTCCCACTGACTCGCGGGAAGGGATATATCAGCTCTACAAGCTCATTACTCCTTGACTAATTTCAACAAATGGAGTTCTTTTTTTTCCTCACTGTAGAACATCAACTCGACAGCGGCTTGAATGTCTTTTCCCTTTGCCTAAGGTAGAAAGAATTACTTAACAGTAAATGAGCTACTCTCAGCTGCAGTGTACCAAAACTTGCTGTTCTGCTTCTGAGAGCTCCAGAGCGCTTCACAACTCAGCCGTTTTGCTAACGGCCTCCAAACTAATTGCCACTGAAGGAAAATTAGGGTAAGAACACTGCCCCTCATACATTAATGAATTAGGTCTACCATATCCAGAAATTTAGTTCATCTCCTTGACTATTTCTCTTTTCTGCACGTCATTGCTTGGTGTGTAATTCTACACTAGCTAGCAATAAAGCCTGTCATAACATATTATTATTGCAGGAGCTACTGGACCCCTCAGTACCAGAAATAACTTAATTATTTGGGTAAGTGACAGAAAAACATCAAGATAAAGGCCTTCATGAATCTTTCACATGGGAAGAAAAAAAGCTCACTTCTTCCACAGCAAGCACTGCTCTAAAGGAATCCTGTTTCTATACAGGAGTCCTGAATTCTCAGTAGGAAACACATATGAAGCACATACCTCAGAAGATAATTTTAGTACACTGACCTTTATAATCATGTAAAGGGTGAGAAACAAAAACATGACAACTTCTATAAAGGTCTGCTCTTCTGGTAAGGCACTTTGGCATAGCTGGCAGCACAAAAGCAAAAAAGTAAATGGAGTACAAAGAAACATTCAGGGATGTTTTGATCTGACAGAAAATACACCCTGAAATCAAGAAGTGCAAACCTATCCAAAGTGCAAAGAGAATGGATGAGAATCCTTAAAACCACCGTTTAGAAACGAGATTTCTTGGGTCGTCCCTTCAGTTTTCTCAAATCTAGAAAACCCCCGGAACAGTCAGCCACTCTCTCCTGCTGGGATTTAAATAAATAAATGCTCTGGCTTGTACTTGAAAGTGACTGAATCCAGTGCCTCACAGAAGAGGGCCTCTGGGGAAAAAAAAAAAAAAAAAAAAGTGAAGATAGGAAGGAGGTCTGAACTGTCTGAACTGTGTAACTTACCCTATTCTTCCTCAGATTCACTTGGGCAAAGTACAAACTTCCAGTTTTTTAAGCTATTTCAGAATGTAGGACGCCACTGCTTCATACAGAGAGGTGTGAAACTTCCATACTTCCATTCAATTCTGCCTGAAAATTCGATAGCAGGTATAGGAGTAAAAGCAGCTTTACTTGTATGCATGGTGCTCCTCCTATTCGAAATTATAGAGAAGAAACAGAATCCACCTCAGGAACAATAGCCTTACAGAAAAAAAGGGGCTAAATGAGGATAAGGAAAAGATTAAGCTGTCCACAGCATGAGATTTCCAAACTATTGTTTCATTTAACATGCTTCTAAGCAGGGCTGTTCTTCAAACCCATTACAGCTGGAGCTGAAACTGGTCTCTTTTGCTTTCAAAACCAAATTGTCCTATAGCCAGAATTTCCCAAAACAAAATCTGTCAATCTACTAGACTCTCTTTATGTGATGACTTAGTAAATACGCTACACAAACTGCATCTATGAGGCAGTAAAAATAAAGATTAACCTTCTTCTAAATACAGCTTCTGGAAACGTGCACTTAATATAAAACACAAAGAGCATCATCTAAAATAGGATTGTTATCTACATAATGGATTGAAAACTCTTAGCCTAACCAGTTTCAAATATTCTGAGTTACCAAACTAATAAATTAATCATTAAATACAACTTATTCCCTAAAATTCTCCGCTATACTATGAAAGCAAGGATATTATCTATCCTAAGTTTCAGACCCAACAACTGCTGCTGAAGCAGCAATTAGAAGAAAATGAGTAGGTAATAGACAATGTAGCCCTTTACAACTTTGTCCCACAAATATCTGAAAACACCAAATGCAGAGGAAATAAAACAATAGTACCATTATAAGGCATACTTAGTATTCAGCTGGACTGCTGGACAGAACCCACAAATAGGAGTTAAATGTTAAAGGTACTCCGAGGAAAATAATCTCTCGGATGTTCTGCTACACTTCAAATTCTAGCACACGCTCAACTGCTGCAGATTTGTTTTAATCACTCAAGAACAGCAACAGATCTAGTGCTGAAAGAAATCAGTCTTGAAAGTTGTAGGAAAAATTCTGACTCTAAACCAAACGTTATTTAAGCTTCCCATGACTACTACAGAAGCATCTTACAAACATTCAGCAGACTGCTGAGGTTATTTTCCCTAGCAGCATGGATTCTGCGGATAAGATTACACACCCACTCTGAGATTACACGTACAGAATGCAAACTCCTCTCTATCAGCTTAGAAAGTCCAGAGAACGACAGAATTATTTTATAGCCGTCAAGATTCTTTCTTTTGTAAGAGCTCTGACCTTTCAGAAAAACTCACAACAGACTAAAATTTGATATGCAATTCCAAATCGGTGTCAGAATTTTAGACATTAATTTATGTATCATATCAGAACAAGAACCCTGGAAAAAAAAAGTTACTTTAAAAGTGAATTAAGAGCAGAACTACTTAACACAAGAGAGGATATATATTCACTAATCAAGTAACATTTCTCCTATCACGCCTCTACACACTGTGCTGTTACCATCATCTTTAGTAGTGCTCTGCTGGGAAACACACAGTTCTAAGAGCAAACAACGACCAACAAATGCAAAAGAGAGGACAGCTGAGAGACTTCACCTTATTGTGGTTCCTCATCAAATCCATTCACATGCTGCGTCATAGGTAGAGCCTAGAAGCAGGATTTCTCACACTCCAAACCAAGTCCTGAAGTAATACGCTGAAGTTCTAATACAGTAAGAGGCATCACCTCTCCTTAAAAAAATCAGTGATATAAGATCCTTACATGCTGCCTGCCAGGAAAAAATTTCCTGGAATTTTCCAAATAGTAATTCAATATGCACATATGATGACCATGAACACATCTTTTTTTGTATCTTGGAACAATCACCAGAACAGCATACAAGAGACAAGCTGGGAATTCAAGAAAAGGATCCATTGGGCACATCCTCACTCCAACTAGAAAATTGTAAAATCAACTCAAGAAATTCTGCAGAGAAAAGTACTACTTTAAGGTTCACAAGAGAAAGTTCTTCAAGTTAACTGGACATTATTACAAATAAGACCTGTAGCATAAAGCCACAGAGCACTAACATACAAGGAAAAAAGAAATTCTACTTTCTTTTGGTGTATTGTGGACTCAAAATTAAACTTAATAATAATAAAAAAAAACACTTTAAATATCCGTTCTGTCAAAGTTAATTGCAATCACACCTGAAATTCAGAGATCATAATTATAAAGACAGTTTTAAGTTTAAAAGCGTAAAAAAAAAAAAATCTTTAGTATACTAACAGTGGAAGTACTAACTGGCTTAGGTGTTAGGATACGTGTAGAGTTCCATGTATCTGGATTTTGCCATACTTTGTCTGGTGTAAACCTGTTGAATTCCAGCTCTTAGGTCATCCCATATCTGGTCAAGACCAATCTGTTTAAGTCCATGAGGGTTCTGACTCCTATTCGATGACATTTTGTATTTCCTGTAAAGTCTTCCAGTGCAGCAGTCTGAGATCTGGTTATTCCTCCATCAGATTCACAAGTAACATTCTAAACCCAGTTGCAATAACTCAAAAGATGTTCTTTACATACAAAAAGTGATGCTTCCCAGGAAGGTAACCTGCAAAAGGAAAAAACATATGTTACATGCACTGACAGCCCAATCCGCTTCATTAATACCAGATGAAAAGATATGAGATTAATCATTTAATTGAAACAATTTTCATTCACAATGATGAGAAATACACGATGAGATCTGAAATATCACAGCCAAAACACATAGTTTTATGATTCAGCAATCTGCTACAAGATGCAATCATTTGTGCCCAAATCTGTCCAAAGCTGTGGAAGGATGGAATTATAGCTACTTTGGTTAGTGTGACTGAAAATAAAAACCTAATGCTAGTAAGAAAATGCAGTAGAGTTACTCCCAGTAAGAATCTTTCCAAGCAGCAGATGCTATCCTACTACAAAGTGTTTCTTCCTTATACAATAGTAAAACTCCAGGAACTAACATCAGTTCAGAGTTCTGTGGTAACCCACTGTTTAATAAACATCCTGATGAATATCTAAGATTAATCAGAAGCTATTAAAATCATTATTTTTCTTCTGTTATCACCAAGCTCTTCCAGACTCCAGATTCTGTTACAAGTAATCTAAAAGTCCAAAGTATCTGGGGAAAGAATTTTCAGATCTGGTAAATGCATATTTACATTAATTTCTAGTTAAGTAAATAAACATCCCTTTCTCTTGCATGTCATCTTATGAGTGAGAGAATATGCAGCCAGTAACGCGGGGGAAGAAAGAAAAACTAAGCGCACAAAATAAATATTGGGTGAAACGTAAAATGAAGAATAAGAAACTAAGAAAATATACTATTCATGCAAGTGTTTGAGCATACAAAGTTTGGAAGTTAGCGCAAAGGCTGTTACCATTTAACCTCATGAAATGACAGAGAGTAGGAAAAACAGTTGTTGAGAAAGAACTACTGAGAATTTCAAGCAGAAAGAGTCATTTTTAGAAAAGCCCTTAAACTTTTTGCAATTTTAACACAGCTCATTCAATGTAGCAACAAAATTAGAAAGATTCCTCAAAGTACAAAAGAGATAATACAATTAAAACATTAACTCACAAACAGCAGAGCTGTAATAAATCAGAACCAACTACCCTACTGTCTATTACTGAAATATCATAATACACAAAACACAGTGAAACACTGCATGATTATTCTTCACCATCCTTCTGTGGACAGGATAAATATAGTTTTATGATGAACCAGTCTGTCCTACAATGGAGCCTATGGGCCAAGTGTCACAGGAACCCTTACAAAACTTCAAGAATAGTATACCTAAGGTCAGATTAATCATACTATTTGTTTGTGATCTTTGAGCAGTGGAAAATACATTCCTTCAGGATCTACAATATTTCATAGGTGCTTTGCCATAGCCACATCTGGGCTGTTACATGCTCCAATCCAGATTTTACTCTACGTTCAAGATCTAATATTGTGTTACAACAACAAAATTTGCAGGACTCTCCCTCTCCCTTGACCCTTAAAAACAGCTAATATTGAGACATTTGTTCACTTTTTTCAGCCAAAAACCACCAGCCCTACTGCAATAACATGGACGTTACCATTCCTCAGAGTCCTTTACCACCCATCACCTTTAAGCATTTAAATCTCAAGCTTGAGAGTTGCCACTGAGAAGTTTTTTATGATGCTGATCTAAACAGAAAGTACTGTCTCATTGCAGTTACGGACATAAACTGCTTCTGTACCTTTTCTTTTTACAGGAGCAGCAACTTACTGGAACGTTAGGCAGAAAACAAGAATTTAATCAATATCTTATAAAACACACACTTATCTTAACTTTGCCATTCTGTGTTTCTATAACTACAGCAAACTGATTATTAAGAACACTTGGGAATGATATACCACCAAGCTGAAGTGTAATGCAGATCACTCCTTGTTCATCTTTCACTTCTTCAATTTCTGCAAGTAGAACTTGTTACAGTACCAATGATGGACAGAGTCCCACAGCTCAGAGGACAAGAAGAACAATAGTCCACTAATGGCCTCTCGCTTTTATTGGCGGAAACAGATTGTGCAGGTAACACACCTACGGACATGGACTATGATCCTAGATCAGCATTGTGATACAAAGCAAGAGAATGCATTCTATGCCTATAAACCAAGCGAGAAGAAACTTTCTAGTTCCCTAAATCTAATATTACTTGAACTCTCCATACAAGCAAGAGAAAACATGGTTAAGAAACTAAAAGTCTAATACTGCAATAGTATCTGTAAAAAGTAACTGATTATTATTCTTTTATTAATCTGTAAAAAGTAAGCAGCCTTGGGTTAGGATGTATTTTACTAAATATTTTGGGGTAACAAAATACTTTACGCCATATAGAAATTCTCAGCAAAAGAATAACCCTGTAACTAGCTCAGGGTTAAAAAAGCACAGTAAGTAGAACTAAGGATATAATAATTTACAACTGGGACAAGGTCCAAAGCTCATGTCCGTTCCCAAGCAGACCGCAACGGCCAGTGTTCTTACTCAAACGTCTCTCTAGGTGCCAGTAAGAGGCAATCACTCTTCCACGTAAGCCCGTGATCACCAGCTGCCTAACAGAGGTGGAGTTTTCCCCTCTATGATAATAATAATATTTAACTTCCTTCCCCAACTAAGACTCTCCTAATTGTTTATGCACCCAAGTGCAGCTACAAATACCACCTTTACCACAATCTTTTGGAATTAAAGCATTCCTCATTCATACCATACTTTATTTCCCCTGCCATCCCCCTAAAGTTACCCTCTGTTTTTATATTAGGATGTGGCCATTAAAAGAAAAGAGAAAGATAAACAAAACAAGTCAAAATTATGTTCTATTTAACTTATTTTTTCACGCCCTGCACGTCTTAGAAATATCTTCTCTTTACAATCAGTAATTTGCACTACAACATTTGGATTTGACTACGTTACCTGACTATCCATTGGCTGATTTCCAGTTTGAATTTTGCAACTAAATGCATCAACACAGAATCATAATAGCACCATACCACTAACTTACCAGAGTAAATAAATTGGCTTGTTCCAGTTAGCTGTTAGTTAACGCAGTAGGGGAAAAAAGCAATAGACTAAAAAAAGCTATAAACTACTTTTCACAGGAGTAAAAAGTGACTAGTATCACTACATAAGATGACTTTAATTACAAAAGCTTACTTATGAAAGCAGCCTTTTGTACTGAGCTGCTAAACTAAGATACGATTAGTTAGATTTTAGAAAGGGGAGGGAGAAGTGAGGCTTTGTTACTGAGCACAGCTATTGTATACAAGCATCCAGTGCAAATATGAAACTCTATTCCATATGCCAAGTTTAAGTGTAGCTTTCAAAATGATTTTATGACTCAAGCACAGAAAGCCTCTCCGACACGTACAATTCTGGAAGGTCAAATGTGGTCCACAGCAGTTACTCTGCATCTCTTTACCTAAGGTCCTGAATGTTAAGCTTCTAAAAAGGGAGAAAAAGAGAAAGAAAGGTCAAAAATCTACAGCAATATTTGTGTGAATTCTCTGATAAGCTATATAGAGATTTAAGCTCTTAGAGCTGACTGACAAGATGATATTGCGTGGACTATCTGAAATCGTACAATAATCTGATTTTGCTGATGCTTTCCATGTTTTTGAAAACACACAAGAAAATCTATTAGTGCGATCCTCATTGCTCTTGATGTTAGGAAACATCAAAGAGCAGAATGTATGGAGACTATAACAAAATTAGTATTAGAATTTAAAAGTCAACAGTTTCTAGATGCCAGGTCTATGTGTAATTGCCAAGACCATGGCGCTCGCCCTAGAATCTTAAGCTGCTACAGGTAAATTAAAAGCTCAACATTAAGTCGTAAACTTCACATTAGCAAATTAATTGCCTTGGTAAATGTTTTTAGTAGGAGCAGGTACAAGTGAGTCTTGACCTGACAGTCACCATGCTTCCTCCCACAAAGTTTCATGAACAGGACTACCTGCCCAAGTCACAACATCTGCTCTGTAGCTTTGGATCGGAGAATCCAGACTGAACTATTTCCACCGGCCCAACTATAATTAACAACAAAATAATTACTGCGGCACTTTCCAATTTAGATACAATTCCATGCAGAAGTATGGAAATATCACATCTGCATTTTTTTCAACACCATCCCATTTCTTACCTTGCTTTCAAGCACCACAGTCGAAACAGAACTGTCATTTCTGCTCATACCAATGTCAAAAGTAATATTCCTGCCAAAACTTCAAAACTACATCCTTGAAGGACAGAGACAAGTGTTATTCCTCTCCCTTTTATGACTTGTTGGAAAAAAGAAAAAACAAAACAAAACACACAAGAACTCTCATGCAGCTCAGATGAGCTCACTTGATAATATCTTTGCTTTTACAAAACTTCTAATAGTAAACTATATTCCATCTGAGGCAAATGATACATATGTTAATTAAGGTCTACAAGAACATCTCCGAAGATTAACTCTACTTTTATTCAAAAAACATAATAAAACCCACTGAATTTACAGCATCTAAAGCTATCTTGCAAGAGTTAATTACCCTATTTTGACGTCCTACTACAATACCTTCCTACTTCACAACCCCAACGCCTACGCATCCATTGTTCCAAATTATTGATTTAAAGATAGTTTACTTAACTTCCAAATCTAGAGTTATTTATACAGTTAGTTATTAGCTTCTTGACCCCAGTAAGAACTTGCAGCTCCAGCGTAAGGTTTTCTAACTGACTCAGGACACTAAACAGCACTTTTTAGAGACACAGTAGAGATGCACAGGACCATAAGTGACAGAGTCATTTCCAAATATTTTATCCCTTGTCTAATTTCAAACATAAGAACACCACTCTTGTCACTCCTAACAGCATGAGGTAAGGTGACCAGATTTCATCACGGTAAAAATAAATATATTGTGGAGAAGAAGCAAGTTTCACTGATAATCTACAACACAATGAAATCCATTAAAAAAAAAAAAATCCTCAACACTATGAGGATTCCAAAATTTACATGCGTCTAATAAAAGTCAGAACTTTTTACCCTCTGGGCGATGCTCGAAATCCAATTTCTTTTTATAAAACTGAATGCAAGTTTCCCAGGAACAAAAATACAGTAGCAGTTCATTTTGAAAACAGCTGCAGTTCTTACTCTGGTAAAAATTTGTGCACTGACCATATTCATTGAACAACTACTATAAGCAAAACAGTAACCTTCTTTGCTCAAAGCATAAAGTGTAATCAATCTTTGGCTTCAGAAGTCAAAATTTATCAAAATTACAGCCACACACTTAAAATGCAAGATGAAAATTCCTCTTGCCAAATTGTTTCATCTCCCCTTTTTCCTGCTTGACTTTTCTAACTAATCTTATCCCCATCTCCTGTTGCTGTATTTCAGCAACAGTCTGATCCAGTAATTCAACAGACACTCTTGTATTCCGCTAATAGCAACCCTTGAGAAAGTTCCCAAACAATTTTAGTCCCGCAAAGTCTCTGCTACCTGCACATTCAACTAAGGTAACTATTAAGGTTATTTACCTAGGATACACAACATGGATCAAATCAGCTCCCTACCAAACAAATACACAAGAAGTATTTTCACAAAAGTAAATCAGGAGCACATTAAACACTGTATTTGGTTTAACGCAAGTTGGTTTTTTTTTTTTAAATACTTGTTTTAAAAACAACTGAATATATTGAATGCTGGTTTCCACTCCAGCTCCAGTATACTTCAGAATTACTGTAGTTGAAATGACTCTAAAGTATTATTACCACAACAACATATTTGGCAAGTTTGTGTCTTGCAAGTCTCCAAGGGCATGTCTATTACTTCGCACCAAGCCTAACACTGAAAACATACCAAAAAAAAAAAGCCAAACCCCTCTCACAGTCAAAAGAAGTCAATTTACTTTTCATATAGCCTTTCTTACCAAAGATGGGCGGCTCCATAGGTATGATACTGAAAATATTCCATCCTACAAATCACATACACTTAGGACTCTTCTTGAAGTCATGTAAACACACACACACCTTTTGAAAGCACAACATAAATGCAAAGTGAAGAGATGAGAACAATACTTTCACTGCTCATTAGCCTGTAAAACTGTAAGATACAATCTACATATTTAATCAGATATAAGCATTAGCATGAGGGAGAAAAAAAAAACCTTAGAAATTTTCATATGGAAGTATCCTCTGCAAAATGAAGTACTTCCTCACCTTTAAAATGTATATAAGCTATTTCTTGGGATTTTTTTTTTTCAGGTTTATAAAGGTTTCTCTAAAATCCTAAAGGACATGGCCTCTCTTCCAGCACACTGATTTGATGGGGTGGGAAGAAGCAGAAGAAATTATTATATTGTCCTTACAATCACTTGCACTCATAATTTAGGATTCTGAGGATACTTTATACATGCATATGCCTGCAAATTAATTTGTTTAGCTGACTTCATGAGGTTACCATTATGAGGTCAAAATTATAATGCAACAGAGCTTGGTTAAAGTGGAGTTGAAACCATGACCCTGCATGCAACATTTTATAGCATTGACGCTTCTGTCCAGAAGTATTTCAGGTCACTAAATATATGGAGTATAAACTAGGCAGAAGCATATCAAATGACCCAATCCTTATGTCAAGCCTGGGATCACGCATCGTGTCCTTAGCACTTTACACCCCACACTTCTGTCATTACACAAAATCTGGAGACTGTCTACAGCAGACTGCATCCACTGCATCCCAGCAAAATGAAGCCATAATTACTGCAAAAAACAGCTATTCCAAAATTCATATCAATATCAGAAGAGAAATATTAGAATACTTTTTCCCCCCTCTTTCAACTATGGCAAAGATATTCAAGAGATGAGTTACACAAATTACAGTGTTCAGTTCTCCTGTATTATTAGAAAATATTGAGTTAGATACAGCATGAAAAGCTTCAGCTCACCTTATTTTCTGAAGGGTTAAATTGAGCACAGCTCATTATGAAAAAAGTATACATGCATATATTCCTTCCTTCCAAAAGCTGTCTTTCGGTGGGAAAAGCATGTTGCATGGCATGTTTTTTTAAGAAGCAGAGCTTCAATTTGCCAGCAGTTTAATACCAAGATGTGCAAATTTGGTATAAAAGTTGAACAGCTGCCGATTTACTCCTATGACAACGCTCCCATTCAGGGCTTTGGGACTCTAGTGTTCTTCCCCTACCTCCTTTCCTTTCTACGGATTACAGTTCTGATCAATAACATCTAAAGCTGTATAAAGAATACACCCTTACATTACTTCATATGCCAGGGACACAGTTGCCAGCTGAAAAAAAAAAAAAAAGAAAAAGAAAAACGAGACCCTGGATGCGTTCTTCACAACCAGAAAGACACTCAAGGCTACCTTTATTTTCAAATGTAAACACAATATATGAATGCAATTTGGAATCGCAGTTTTTAGACTTTTACTTAAATTGCACATTATCATGACCTTTTCAACAGGGTTTTAATTTGCATGCCCAATTATAAAGACTTTTCCAAGACATAAACGAGTATTCCTCAGAAAAGCACCCAGTTTGAATGCGTCTCTTCTCCACATTGTCTCTTTGCATCTTCTTCTATTAATTCTTTAATATTCTTTCACTATTTCTTAGTTTCAGCTTTAGCCTTGCCTTTCTTGAGCAAAAAAAGTTCCTGCAGCATATGACAGAGATGTCATTACAATAATGCAAGAACTAATACAAAACAACAAAAACATGTAGGTACTGCCTAATACATTAAAGCTATTCCAGACTAGGTAAGGTTTACTAATGTCTCTATACAAGCAAACAATCCTTTCTGCATACAGAGCTGAAGTAAAATTTGTCAGTAAAAACAATCTTGCAAAAAAATAAAAAGGTACTGTGACTGCATCAACCCTAATACCTTTGCCTATGCAGAAATATTGTGAGAAACCACACCCTTATCATTAATATACTGGTAAAACTTTTTTACTTTGGCCATCTTACAGGAGTTCAGGGATTTTTTGCCATACAAGTAATAGTTACACAAAATAGTTAGAACTACTCTTAGAAACGACACGTTCAGTTTAACCTGAGTGGTCGGGTCTTCCCACGCTACACACATGATGCAGACCCTACACCACTTTTTAACTGAGCCTGCAGTGATAAGCTTTGTACTTCTTAAAAGACTGATAGTGCTCAACTCCTGCATCTTGAAAAAGGGATGTAGCAGCCTGGGAAGAGAGCAGAATCACGTGCAGAGAAAATCAAGTCAAGGAATAAGCAGACTAAAGCGAAGGAAGAAAAGTTTAGGCAGCCTCAAAGGACGACATGGATCAAGATGTTTCTTGAATTAGCCAAGGACATGCAGAAAAGAAAGGCGAGGGAAGACAGACGAAAAAAGCACTCTGCTAGATATCCACCCTTCCAAGCAGAAGACAGAACAGTGCACCTTGTCTTTCCTATAGAACAAAGAACAGGAGGCAGCAGGGAGAAACATCAAATGCAATTTAGCAAGAACAAACACCAAAGACTAGGAACTCTGCAGTATCTTGGGCCAGTGCAGAGATCCTGATGATTCCAGGAGGAAAATTCTTACAAATAACTGATTTCCTAAAAAGCTCTCAGCAGCCATCAAAACATTATCTGAAACTAATTTAATAACCTGCAACACTGATCTGGCTGATCTCCACCAAGAGCATCCTGGCGCGGCCAGACAATCCACTTCAGTCACGACATAACATGCAAGGCAATCTCAAACAAAACTTGTAGGACGAGTCTCTAAATCCTGATACAAAAGGCTCTCAATTGTAATAGAATCTAGCACATCACCTCTTATAACTTCATACTGACCTATTAGAGATGAACAGGAATTTTTCCCTGCAACAATGTTGGCATATCATGTTTTCACTTCACTCTTGGAAAATGGTGATTTTTAGCAGTACCTTAAAAAAGTAGTAATGTTAACCAGTGCCATCCAACTTTGGCTGGAATCTCTTCCCAGAGGCTTGCTAATTTTACAACTTCTTCCATCTTCTTACTTGTGCAAGGGCTCAACTGATCCAAGGCAATGCAGTTTGCCACTTCAGTTTATAAATAACAGTCACACTGATTTGTCTTGCAAGCAGCCTGCAGTTTCTAGATGTCCAAATATATCACAAGAGTATGGCTTAAATACTGAAGTGCTTCCTCCTTTTTTGTCTTCGTACTAATGTTTTATTCAGGAGTAACTGGCATTACAACTAGCACATAGTTAAAATCGTTCGTAATAACAAGGAGTAGCACGTTTTGAAAAAGTTCATCTTCAGGAATGTTGTGATTAATTGCATTCGTTTCCTGCAAGTGGCAAAATCGCTGTTCTGGGAAAGATGCCCCTTTTACACACTTTTAAAAAATCTAGTTTAACTTCTACATTTGACTACACTCTAACTGTAAGTCCATGTTAAGCTCACCCATACACCTGCTAGTGATGTAACTTCCTAGTAGGATCTTCTGCTGCGACACTGTTAGCGACAAACAGTGCTGCTCCTAAATATTTCAGCTTCGGTGCCTAAATATTGACAATGTTTATCCACATACTTCCAGAGCTAACAAGAAAACAATGTGAACTTTCTCATTAAAGCCTGAAAAGGTATTCATATGTGTTTTTTCTTGTTCAACTCAAATATCTTAACTGTAACAAACACAAATTTAACTTTCTCACAGCAAAGAATTTATATCTCCTAAAACATTTGTTCCACATACAATTCAGCAAATTTTTAATCAGTTCTGTCCCACAACAATTGCAAGAGGCACATGTGTAGTATAGAAGCGAAACACTAATTCTGTAAAGGTTAAACACCGATACAAATCCCTAACAGCCACACTTAAATCTTGCTTCTCGTTGAGGCAGCTTGCACCATTAAGTTACAAAGCTACTCCTGCGCTGGAATCTAGCCAAATCAGTTTTAAAGAATTTACCTCAGCACATACTTTTTGGTGTTACACTCCTCCTATTAGTGATGGGATTTTAGCAAAGGAACACTTTGAAAGAAAACAGCATTTGGAAAAATATCTGCAGTAAGAGAACACAGACTGTCCTCTTAAGCAAATGCAGAAATTTAAAAAACTGAGCATTTCAAATTATATAGTGAAAAATTTCTCCCTTGGCCACCAAAAGGCAAGCGGAAGGTTTTCCTGCAACATTAGTACCATGGGAAGAAAGATCGCAAGTAAGGCTAGCATCTAACATAAAACAAGAAGTACTTCCTACAATCCTTACCCTTACTCCCCCTCCCCCACCCCCCAATTCATTCCTCCAAACTATAGGCAAAATTTCCATAGATGACAGTCTCCACTACTGTGGGACAAGAGGAGCTTGTAAATTTACATATGAAATTAAGATTAAATTACAGAGCAAACCAGGATGAACTAAGATCAGAACAGCAGCCTCAATTCTAAATTCTATCAACATTAAGATACTGCATGACCTTAAACACACAGAACACAAAAAGTCAAGTTAGATCAGCCGCAAATGAAAAATACAAACAAGCAATTTCTGAGGTCAGCTACAGCTGAAAACTTTACTCCTAACGACCCAATTTCTTTTATTTTCCTGCTTTACATTTAAATAGAATCCTCACATTAACTTTTGTCTACTTTGTGCGCTAACAAATAACATACACCCGGGTCCCTGTAGCAAAGCCACCAGCCGCTCCATGGGAAGAAGAAAAGCACCTCTGTCTCTCCTGAAAATTAGGACAGCATCAGAGCAGAGAGTGCCCACACTGACTGCGAAATTTTTAATAACCATGATCCTCACCTTCCTACGTGTGAATGAAAAACTTCAGTTTCTCATTGACAGTAACACCAAGTTTTTGGTGTGCAGCAACATTAACTAGAGCAAATCTAATGGAACCAAGGATAAGGGGCATTTTCTATCAACCTTGAGTATTTCTAATTTAATAAAAACAGAAGTCAAAGGTACTGAACTATGACTGGCACCTACTGCACCATTAGGAGGACACTAGAAAGAAACCAAGCATGTGTGATCCTTTATTCGGAGTACTGATTTAAAGCAACACCTCATACCTGCTAGAGCAACCTGTAATAGCAAACCTTCTGACTCCAAAACCAGAATAACCAAAGGGAAAGAAAAGGAGATAAGATTAATTTGATCCAGGTCTTTGAAAAAGCACCACATCAGAACTACACTGTTTATTCAGGGTAGGACAATCTTGAGGATAAAATACCTAGAGATCCCAAAGCTGACACAAATTGTAGTATTATTCTGTGCCACAGTTTCCTGCAGCACAAAATGGAATCAGCATTTTCTCATCTTCACATTAGCCTTCATTCTTGTAATTTTTTTTAAGCTTCTCAGATGAAGAGTGGCTTTGAAAATGTTACATGAAATAAAGTGGAATGAAATAGTAGATTTATTTTTTAAAAAATGACATTTTATGTGGACTTGTATCATTTATAAGAACAGGTGATTTAGCAATGTGAAGCAGTTCACCATTGTGACATCAGAGGTTTTGGGGATAAAAAGAAAACCCATCAGAAAATAACCCACTGAGACACAGATTATTTCCTAAAACAGTACTTTTCCCTACCAGCAGCACTGCAACTATTCCATGATTAAACCTTGTATAACTACTCATGCTGAATAATACAAAGAATGTTTAAACCTAACAATGGTCTCGCTCTGTAATTACGTTAAAGTAAGCCTACAAGTTACAGCACTACAGCAGTGCACATCAGCTCCAGAAAGTTTTATTACCATGTCCTTTAGTCATGGCTATAGGAGGTTTGAACTGCACTGTGGTACAACCATCAGCAGTCAACTGGTAGTAGTTCTTTCACTGACTCTCTTATAATAAAACAGCAAGTTACTTAAAGAAGAATCCAAAAGTAGATGAGCTCAAGAGCTCTCTAAAATTTTCCAGCCATTTATTTTTCTTGATCTTTGCCTTCACACTTCTTAAAAGGAGAACTTTCACTAAGAAGAGGAACTGAATGGTCTCCACAGCAAATTTAAAGAATAGTTTAATTCTGCACCATGTGTGGGCTACAACTTTTAACTAGGCCTCTAAATGTTGGTTCCAGTCACCAGTTGCTTATGTGGAGTTTATCTCAAAAAAATAAAAAAATAAAAGGCAGTAATTATACAGCATATATGAGCGCACCCTTGCCAAAACCTAATACTGGTACATAAGCTGTCAGTATGAAACAAGTTCACGCATTCTCAAAGCGCCCACAGGACTTCCAAGATCAAGTTTATTAGCAATTTCTACTGTTCTTTTCTCTATGCTCTGTAGAGCAGGAAAGCAGATGATCATACTGACCTACGCACCACTGGCACTGCCGGCACACGTCCTCCTGGCATGCTGACAGAGGTGCGACCCCTGCCCAGTTTTCCCTCTCAAGACAGACCAGGTTAGACAGCACGTTACATACAGAAGCATCATCACCAGAGCAAAACAGCAGCACTGATCTAACCACTAATTACACTTCCATCTGATTCTGCCTTCAGCAAGTTAGAAAATCCCGGCTAAGAAGTGCAGTACACATCACTTAGGTACCTACCTGTTACATACAGGCAACCTTTTACTAGGACAATCTGCTCACGTCACATTCACAGCGCAAATTTTTTGACGTTGACAGTGGTATAACTACAAGTACTTCTTTAAACCTGTTTCATCCACTGGGAAAAATAAATACATAAAAACAGTTTCAATGCCAGAAGAGAAGACTCCAGGTACACTCAATTCACCTCACCGCTAACACCCAGGATGTGACTCATCATTAAGCTGGGTCTCACTGAAGTGAGAAGTTAGTTTTGTGCAACTATGTAAAAGGAGACACCACCTGAGAAACATAACTGATGAAAAGCAGTATTCAGAGATCTTGACATCTAAATTACAAAAAGAAAAAAAAAAACCTTTTCTTAATATCTGATATAATATCTGATATAACAACTTTCTCCGAGGATCCAATGTTATATCCATAACAATATGGCTAGGATGTAAGACTTTAAGCTAATAATGAGAATAAGCTGAAATCACAAAAGCCATCCTCACATCAGTTTCCAAATAAGGGTATGAATCATTTGAGCTTAAATTTAAATGATATAAATTAGTGATTCAATTTTCTCATGCTGACAGACTAAGTAACAGGCTCAAGCTATAAGGCAAGTGTAAACCAGTGTAGAAAGGATAAAAGTAGAAGTAGAATCATTTAGTTTAATCAGCACAACTGCTTTGTCAACATTGTATTGGCACATGTGTCTTATTTAGGTGCCTAAACCAAGAAACTGTTCCTCCATACGACCCCTTGATAGGCGATGGAAAAAGATTCCTCTAGGGGAGTAATTCAGACTAGAAGTCTAATTCAGTTACTCTAAGCTGTCTTCCAGTTACTTTCTCAATGAGGAAGAAACAGATCCTACTGTGAATAAGCTGTTAATGTTAGATACTCATTCTGGATTCTAAAGTTAGGTGTATAAATTACTTCCAAAATTTGAAACTAGTCCTGACACCTCCATGGCACAACTACGTCCAAGGTTTAAATGGGACCTCAAATACGTCGTGGTGATGCGATTATAAAATGCAACCAATGTTAAGAACTAAAGCAATTCAGAAAGATGTAAAATAAGAAGTTGGGTAACCTACTACTGAGAAACAAAAGAAATCACAAAGCAGAAAGAAAAGACTACTTTCCAGTAGAGTCACTAGCAGAGACACAAGTGCCAGTGCAACACAGACTCCCAGCCACCAATACTCAACACTGCAGCAGTTCGCTGTGATCATTTCCTGAGGAAAAAATATGCATCTAGTGAGTAGCAGGGAGGCCCAGTGAGGCCTCTTAGGACTTCCCCAAAGAGAAACCATCCCAAACATACCGTACCTCAACTGAAGTACCAATTCACAATACAGCATTAAGAAACAATGCTTGGCACTAATTTAAGTTATACAGCCGCTGGAAGTTTCTTGCCCCCACAGACCACTCCCCCAGGTCCTACCAAAAGGTCTTCCAAGAGAGCTGTTTTTCTAAACTAACACTAGGGGGTGTGTGTGTCGGTGGAGAAAGGGGGGAAGAGAATGTGAATATACACAAACACATGTATTGGGGCAAAGACTGCTGAGGAAATCAGTAAGAAACAAATAAAATAAGGTAAAACAGGTTTAAAAATGTTTGTTTCGTGTTCTCCTAGTACTGGCTGACAAATACAATCTAGGCTGAAGTTCCTCCTCTCCTCAAAAGCACAGCTGGAGGATTTAAATACAAAGTGGGGGGAGACAGCATGGGAGTCGATGGAGAAAAGGAACATGTCAAAAGGAAAGGGTATTAGGTGAGATCACGAGGAAGGATTTAACAACAGGAAAATAAGATCAGAAGGGCAAAGAATCGCGGTGAAGGAAACAGCTACCGGGGAGGAAGAAAGCTGGAAGGGGGAAAAGGTAATCAGGGAATAACGATGATGAAAGAACACAACTCGAAGGGGAAACAAGAAGGATGGGAAGAGATGCCAGGAGAGACGCAGCCAGCTTCCAGTGCCGGACCAAGTTCCTGGGAGGCTGACCAGCTGCCTGTTAGCCACGACCAAAACCTGCAGGACCGCTCACCTGGACGGGGGCGACAGAGAAAAGGCTACGGGGGAGGGGGGTGGCAACAGCAAGGGGGCAACCAGGGCAAGCCCGGAGCACGCCCCCAGCCAGGGGGGGGACGCGCGGGACGCGGCGCCGAGGAGCCACGGCGGCAC